TTCACAGGTCAAATGGGATCTCTAGGGAGTCTTGAAAGATGAAAGGCAATTACAGTCACTCTGTATTTGCCATTAATATCTACATAATTGCATCAACTGCATTTCAGCTAAAACAGGAAATATTGAATAATATGTAATAATTAATTTTCATATCAAACCTAAAGTCATTTTAGTGATTTAACACATAAAATACACCATCTACAATTTAGCAAATAAACTTCTGTCATGTTTCTGAAACTGACAGAGCAATCCTATACATTTTATTTGAACTGCTCGTTTTTCTGAAAATTTTAGAAGCAATTGATACCATAAATTATATCCTGTTGTGCCATTTGGCTGAAATGGAAGTGGAGCAGTATTTTACTGGTTTTCCAGCCCTATTTTGTTCTGGTTTTTGTGTAAAGTGGTGCCTCGCTAGACGATGATAATCCATTCCACTGAAATCGCTGTTTAGCGAAATCATTGTCTAGCGAAAAGCATTTCCCTATTGGAATGCATTGAAACCTGTTTAATGCGTTCCAATGAGGAAGAATTGTCGTTGTCTAGTGAAGATCGGCCATAGGAAAGTCACTTTGCGAACTGCCGATCAGCTGTTTAAATAGCTGTCTTGCGAAGCTTAGTCCCGAAAATAGTCGTCTAGCAAAAATCGGTTTGCGAAGCAGAGACCAAACATTGTTCAGCGAAATTCCCCCATAGGAATGACTGTTTTGCGAATCGCTATAGCAATCGCAAAAAGTCAATGTCTAGCGAAAAAACTATCATGTGGGATAGCTGTCTAGCAAGGCACCACTGTAGTTGTTTTTAAATTAATGCTGGGGAACAAGCATTTGGTCTTGTGATTATGTTACAGCATTCCTCAGACTTTGAGATGATCTCCCCTGTTTTCATCATTTACATGAAGTCACCATAAGAAGTCATCCAGAGTTCCAAGGTTGGGTCTTAATATTATGTTGATGATAATGTCTTCTTTCTTCCTCTCAAAGAAAGAGTGGAAGTCCTGAATCTCAATCTGGATTCCATGAAAGACTAGATGTGGGCAAATACACTCAGACTCAATGCAGCCAGGACAAACATTTTGCTCATCATCAGAAAAACCAGCAGGGGACTGGGATTAAAATGTCAAAGCCTTTGTTCATAATTCTGGAATACTCTTTGATCCAGCTTTCTGCTAAAAGGACAAGCCAGTGTATCCACCCAGTCTCTGTCCTGCTCCCCTTTCAAGAGAAGGAAACATTGGCCAGTTATCTGTGCCTTAATTATCTCTTGACTAGACTACTGTAATGCACTTTATGTGAGGCTACCTCTGGAAGCTACAGACTACAATCCCCATGGCAATAGAGATCATACGTCACCAATCATGGACAAACTGCCCTGGATTCCAATTTGTTTTCAAGCTCACTAGAAGTTGCTGGTCTTAACAATTAAAGCCCTAGGAAGCTTGACACTGAGGGAGATAAAAGCTCATTTCTTCCGATACAAGTCTGCCTGGAATCTGGGAGATTTAACAGAAGCCTGGTTGCACCCAAAAGACAAAACCAGTCAGTCCACAAGACAAGGCTGTCTCTGTAAAAGTATTTTGATTGTGGATCTCTCTTTCTGTGTTTTTATCTATTTTTAAAAACTGTTCTATGTAAATCATTTCTGGCATGCAGAAAAGACGGATACCATCAATAAATAAATGACACACAAAATAGAACTTGGAAATATTTTTTTTGGTAGACATAAAAGGATCATCACAAGTCAGAAGAGACTTGAAGGCAAAATAACAATAAACAAGAAAGCTGATCCTATAATAATGAGATATAGTTCAGATGTTACAATACAAGTTGAACTAGACAACCTATTGTCTCAAAAGTATGTAATTCACTTGCAGTTCATAAGTTTTGTTTCCATGTTTGCTATAACATCTTTTAGTAAAATGAAAAAAGGACCTGCTGGGGGCAAACTTTTTTCATTTTTCCTGTTTGTTTGCTGGGTTTTTTTTGTTTTTGGTTCTTGTTTCCCAGGCGCACACACCTTTACTTGAATGCTAAAACAAAGATAAAATCTATGATGTTCAACAGTTCATTAAAATCTTGCAGCCTCCATAATCCCTACTGATTACTATAGCTGGGGAAATGTAAGCTCAACGCATCTGAGGAACCACAAATGCTCATCCCTAAAACTAGAAGCATAAAAGCAAAGCAAAACAAAACCATAAGACCTCTCCTTGTCTTCAAAGTCCAACATCTTGTTTTCCACAGCAACCAAACCACATGCCTCTGGAAAACCCAAACACAATTTTGCTACATGGTCATAGCCCTGTCATCATGGTCTTTCCTGGCAGCTAGCATTCAGCAGCGTACTGCCTTTAAAGCTGGAGGTTGCAAGTAGCCACCTCAACTATAAATTGCTCCAGAACTTGGCTGAGGACAAGAGACCTCTGCATCAGCAAACCACAAGATGGGGGCTATGCAGAACAGTAGCTCTTCAATAGCCTCAGATTAGGCACCAAACCAGAGGTTCAGCAGCTGCTGTAAAAGAGCGGAAAGGAAAACAGTTCATTGCTTCTGCAGAGACATCCGCATGTTACAGCTTGGAGCAGAAGATAATCTGCAGCAATCATTCCTAAGAGTTGGACTGAGTTTGATTACACTGCCAATCTTGTTATACAAGTCTTTAAAGTGTGAACAAGTACATGGCTAGACTATACATTAAGTGCTTTCCAAGCAATCAGAAGTAATCTTCCAGATGACTGTCCTATCGTGCTACATTACAGCAAAAAAATACCCAAGTATAATTTTATTCCTTTCAAATGCCACAATTAAAGACTTCACATTAACCCAGCCTGTGTCACAACTTCTCCACAGCATTATCTGCTTTTCCATTTTGCCATCCTATAAGAACAAGAAAAAGTTCACTTCCCTGCAACGTGACTTTACTTTTGATCCCAGAGTGTCACATTATGATTCCACTATTATTACGGCAGAGACTAGACTAAGAGAAGTATAGTGTATTTCATGAGGTACTAGTTCCCCTCTATTCAGCACTGGTTAGACCTCATCTAGAACATTGTGTACAGTTCCAGACATTGCATTTTAAGAAGAATGCCAACAAACTGGGACAAGTTCAGAGGAGGGCAACAAGGATGATCAGGGGGCTGGAAACTAAGCCCTATGAGGAAAGACTGAAAGAACTAGGCATGTTTAGCCTTGAGAAAACAAGACTAAGAGGAGATATGATAGCATTTTCCAAATACAGTGGTGCCTGCATAGCGACGTTAATCCATTCCGGATTAATCGTCGCTATGCAGAAACACCGCTAAACGGAACGGAAAAAGCCATAGGAACACATTAAACTTCGTTTAATGCGTTCCTATGGCTCCCAAACTCACTGTTCAGCGAAGTTCCTCCATAGCGCTGCCATTTTCGCGCCCTCGGTAGGCGAGGGCACGGCGCGAAAACACTTGCTGCGCCCATTTTGGGCACCCAGCAGCCATTTTGGAACCGCCGATCAGCTGTTTAAAAAAACATCGCAATGCGAAGATCGGTAAGCGAAACACTTACCGATCATCGCAATTCGATATTTTGCCTATTCAGAACATCGCAATGCGATCGCATTGGCGATCTAAAAAAACAGATCGCTATGCAGATTCATCATTAAACGGTGCACTCATTAAGTGAGGCACCACTGTACCTAAATGGCAGTGATACAGAGAAGAGACAGGATCTGTTCTCGGTCACCCTAGAGTGCAGGTTAAGCAAAAATGGACTCAAGCTACAGCAAGCCAGATTTAGGGTGAACATCAGAAAAAAAAACTCTTAAGTGTTCAAGCAGTACAAAAATGGAACCAATGACCTCAAGAAGTGGCGAGCACTCCAACACTGAAGGCATTCAAGAGCAAATTGGACAGCCATCTGTCAGATGTGCTTTGATTTGGATTCCTGATTGAGCAGGAGGTTGAACTCATTGGCCTTACAGACCCCTTCCAACTCCATTTTTCCTATGATTCCAACATCTCAGGCTGCTGAGCTGGGTCAAGATGCTCTACACAAATAAGCTGGTTTTTAACAGGCGTAGCTGATTAACACCACACTAATTCACAATGTTCATGCCAACACCAAGGAAAGATAAAAGAAATAACATGACACAAAAAGAACAGAAAGTTCAACACATCAGTCTGCTTTAGTAATCCAAAAAAACAAAGTGCAGCAGAATTCTCATGCATGAAAACATTTGCACATTCCACAGGGAGCAGAAGCCTTCATGGCAATAGTATACTTTTCATAAGGCACAGAGCACCAGGAAGCTGTACCTGACTAAGCTACACAATCTGTTCATTTTATACATTTAAATGTTACTTGCATTCGCAATTTGTTTCTAGGAGACTTGTGTCTGCTAGGCAGCACAGTTTTGCTAGCTAGACAATTTATCCTAGCACCAACATTTACTGACTGACCACATTGTTGGCAAGTAACAAAGGCTACACAGGCAAACTCTAAAAGCAGAAGTGGGCAATTTACTCATTGCCAGGAGGCACATTCAAAAAATGCAGGCAAAGGACTGTGGCTAATCTAAGCATTTTTGCTACATGGAGCAGCATAATTATCATAAAAGGGGAAAGTACTGAAACAACAAGAGGAACCCAGAGCAGAACTTTCTAGCTAGGCAAGATGATACAAACTCTGGCCACTTAAGGCACCATCAACCCAAGTCTAGACATTGACACTGTTATTTTTGTTCCACAATTGATGCACTGTTATTAAGGACAGAAAAATCTTAACAATTTATTCTACAAACACTAAAAGTGGATGTGGACATAAGATTTTCAAAACATCTAGAAAGAACTGGGAGAAAAAGTTTACCTAGCTGCTGAAACTTCACCCTACAGAAGCATTTTCAAATATTTATACATAATTCTTTCAATGCAAAAAGGGAGATTTGGTTATACAGTACATGCCACATATAGCTGGGAGGAAGACAGTATAGCACTTCCCTTTCCCTACAAAAATATAACCTACCTCACAGTACTTTCTTATTTTGCACACTGGTCTCAACTCAGCATCATCAAGAGAATTTCTGCACATCTTCGTAGTGTTCAAAGAGATCTTACTTTGCAAAATTAGCAGTGCAAGTCTTGTTCCATCAACATCTGCTGGTACAAGAATATGCAAACCATCAATGCTGCACTGAATTCTTAACAACAGAAATTGAATTAATGCACTATATCATCTTTCTAGCAATAGGAGGTTGTTTCCCCAATATTCAATATATCACAGCGCTATATTCAAAGATATTCAACAGAAGATTGTATCCGCACCCTACATTTGTCCTCCTTTCCATTTTCATATCCTAGGTCTTTCTCCTGCATTTTGCAAAACTTGATTACCAACAAAGAATTCTATCAAATATTTCTTATTCAGCTTTATTAAATGAATCTTGTAATATTTTTATAATCCCTCTAAGAGGCTGCTAACATATGCTATCATGTGAGCTAGGAAAAAAATTGCTTTCTACAGACATGGCTGGTGGAGGAATGACAGAACAATCCATCCTTCCTCCATCCAATAAGTTTCTAAGTGGGTTGCAGAAGAAGGATACTTTTTCTTTCACTGCACCAGTCACATCATTCAGCTGCATGAAATTTCCTGTGTTTGCCTGCACAGAATACCTGGTTGTCTATGTTCCCCAGGACAGCTATCCTATCACATTCAAGGCAGTTGTAAATGGACAAAGTTGAAGCAGAACACACCTGTTGTATGATGTAACTTAGAAATGTCCCAGAATCAAAATAATCTGACTTGCAGATGCATGTCAAGCTTCTGATTATGAAGCGAGAAAGAACAAGCACTTGCATCAGCTTTGTCGTCCACCTTCCCACACCACCACCCGCACACATATGTACTGCTTGCACTTCTCTGTCTTCAACTTAGGTGATGCACATGAATTTGAAAGGCCCGGAGTTTCCATAACAACCCTGTCCAGTGTCAGGAAAACAACTTCACAACTCCCTTGATCATTAGACCTTTGAAAGAAAAATCAGAAAGGAATGGAGAGAGAAGGAAATATTTCTGAAACAAATATCTTTTCACAAAAAAATGGCAAGTAAATATTGTTCTGCCTGCTCAAGTCAGCACTATTTTCTAAACGGAACTTTAGAATACAAAGCCTATGCATGTTCCTTTCACTGTCTAATCGCAAACCACTCAATCGTGATTTTTTTTCATCTTCCAAATTGTTCTACAGACTAGCTCAATGAATATTTACACAAAAATCTCACTGATTTCAATAAGAATTTCAGACTTGCACAGGACCACAGCCTGTGCACAACCACTTGAATAAACCACCATTGTGAGATATTCTGCAAATTTATTTATATGCCACATTTCTCCCAATCAGCCTATAACTACATACCCGGCATATACACATTTTCCTCTTTATCTCCACAACAACTGCATTAATTCAGGCAAAATGTCTTTTGCTCCAATACCACAACTTCATAACTACCGAATTCACAGTACTTTGCAGAATTTCAGAAAGACTCAGTGGCTCGTTTCATGGTCATTCTTTTTCTCAATGGGGGAATTTTGTTAATATAATTGTTCACAATTAATTGTTCACCTGTCATTGTCTGAACATTTCTTTAGTGTGTTAGTGTACTCAACACAAATATTAACCAATGATGAATCTCCTAGTTCAGGTTCTTTACTTTGGGGAACAGTAAAAGAAATAACATATGATACTTACTGTCATAGCAACATCTCTTTATCAGATTCTACATAACAAGAGCCCCAGTGGATTAAACAAAAGGTTTATACAGCCCAGCACCCTGTTTCCCACACGGCCAACATGCGTTTTTGGGAAGCCCAGAACAGGACATTAAGGTGGCAATGGGTAGTTTAATGTTTGCACAGAACCCTAATAACTAAGCATGGCTGAGAGCTTTCATTTGTTTGCCTTTTAAAGTTATCTGTTCCAGTCATAATCCCATTTTGTGACAGTCAAATTCCATGAATTTAATTCTATGTGTGAATTAAATGCCTCTCTGTTTTTACTCAGACTCCTGCAAATCAGTTTAATTAGATCAGACCTGGGCAAAGTGCGGCCCAAGGGCCACATACGGCCCGCAAGCCGCTCCTGTCCGGCCTGCTGGTCGTTGCTCCAGTCCGGTGTTCAAGCACTTGTTCAAGCCCAAGACAGACTGGATTTCTCTCACTGAGTAAGTTGAACATCAAAACCATTTATAGCTTTTTGTCTAAAGTTGATCAGTTGCGTATCTTTTATTTTTAAGTAAAGTTGGTTCGGCCCCCGAACACAGTTCAGATTTTTCATGTGGCCCCCTATAGAAATTAATTGCCCACCCCTGAATTAGATTACTGTAGTGTTTAGTATTAGTAGATCCCAGGACTTGTTTTAATGCTAATGACACACACAAACATTTTGAACATTGCAAGTACTTAGTGCACTTGAGCAAAAGGGGGGGGGAACACTTAAGTCTACTCTTGAAAAAAACAAGTTTTCAATCTTCTTTCATTTGTCCTGAAAAAAATATCTGCAGCTGGAAAGGGAACAAAAAAACAGCCCAGCCCCCTGCCCTAACTTCTTCAGTTCACATATAGGCCTTGCTGTGTACTACAAAATGTATCAAAGCTTCCTCAACCTGTTGCCTCCAGAGGAGTTGGACCAGGCATCAAGTCAGCTGTGGTAACATGGAAGCTGTAGACCGAAACCCTCTGGAAACCACTAAGTTGAAGAAGACTACAATACCCTGATTTTTTTCTCCCTGAATTTATTCACAGAACCCTATTTTTCTCCTATTCAGAGTCCTGTTACCAAAGATGTAACATCATACCTAGTACCATGTAAAAATATTGACTCATATCCAGGCCTGGTTTTTTGTGTTCCCTTCTTTGCTCATTCAACTTTCTTCTCCAGTGTTCAGTCTCAGACTCTGTTGGAACAATGACCTTATTATTGTCATCATTATGATAACATTATACTGTACTTGGTGAATATTGTATAAATAACATTTATCACTCTTTACTCTTTCACCTCTCATCATGGGGCAATTAAATGCGGTTTTCCACTCATCACTCCTGTCCCTACCTACTACAGTTCTCACCAGCAAGTGAAAAGCCACTTGTGGCAGGTCAGTCATCATTTTCATCTTGCCAACTCCTGAGAGCACCCAAGGCACTGGTTCTTAACCTTGGGTTACTCAGGAGTTTTGGACTGCAGCTCCCAGAAGCCTTCACCACCAACTGTGCTGGCTGGGGTTTCTGGGAGTTGCAGTTCAAAAACATCCGAGTAACAAAGGTTAAGAACCACTGACCCAAGGAGTGGCAAGCCACCCTTGTGCAAGCCACCCCAAGTCCCTGTTACTCACCTCAAACACCCACCTCTGCCATCTCAATTTACCCTACACTCATTCTGGAAGTCCTGTACCCCCACAGAAGTCCCAGTGATCCAGCAGTGGCCACAAGGCTGCCCAGAATCCAAAAGAGATGCCCTAGAGATCCAGAATCACAGGATTCTCATTGTTGGATCAAGGGCAACACTCAGACTACCTCAATGCAAGGAAGGCGAGAGGGTGCTATTAATGAGCAGCATTTTGTGTTTGTGTGCTCAGCATACTCCCACTACTCTCAACACATCCCTAGGCTCTCAGGTTCCCAGGAAAATAAAATAAAATAAACATCCCCCCCTCGTAACACACATACAAGGTAAAGCCACCCTTAGGATCGAGTAAAAAACCTAAAATAAAACATAAAACAAACAACTGCTTCATCACAGGGGTTAACAAGCCAGAAGGGACCAAGGCCCAGATAGGGACGAGTCCCCTCAGGAGGTTTCTCCCCTTCTGTTATGGGGGGGAGGGGTAACCTAGGCCCCAAAACCTCCCTCCCCCGTTACAGTACTGCCCCCTCAGGGAACCCGCCCGGCCGTGAAGGGAGGAAGGGGACCGGGGGGTGGGGGAGACCAAAAGGAAGGGAAACCACACACACACACACACACCAAGCACGGACCCCGCCCCCCTCCGCCTCCCACCCGTACCTTCGTCGCTCGGCGCATCCCGGCCATAAAAGGGGCGCCGTTCCTCTCCCCTCCCGGCTCTCCCGTCCCTTCCCTTCCTTTCCCTCGCAACACGGAGCCGCCCGGCACGCACTCGGCGCAGGGGGCGGCGGGCAACCGGAGGCGGCGGCGGCGGCACCTCACGTGGGTCAAGCTCCCACAACCTATACGGTAAGGGCCGGCCCAGGGCCTCCTACGTCACTCTCGCGCGACGAGGCCTCCGAAGCGACGAGCGGGGTTGGGAAGGAGAGGAGGAGGGGGCGGCTTTTTCCGGAGACGTGCTGCGCGTGCGCGGGACCAAGGGGCGGAGGACGCGCGGTAGGCCTATCAAAAAAAGGGACTTCAGGAAGAAGGTTCCGCCGGCGCTGGGGAATTCTCGAGAGCGGGTTGAGCAGTACGCCTGCGCAGTTGGTTTTGCTGTTGCTAGGAGAAACCCGCAGTCGCTCTTCTTTCCATGTGTTCGGCGTGAACGCGTGAATGGGCTGCAGCAGACGGGAAACCTGCGCGAGAGTTCTTTCACGTGTCTCTACGCAACGTCTGAATAGGGTTACCGAGAAAATTCTAAAAACACGGAAAATTTCCCAACCCGCTATTTCGTATGCCTGAATCCATGACTATATCTTTCTCGATAGGGCTGATAATAAATTTGTTTAGAGTAAAATAAAAAGTTGTCTCGACAGGATGCGAACACGAGAAATCCTCAGCATTCAGAAACCGACCTATGTGTGACAAAAGAAATGCAAGGAAGCAGCGCGGTTGCAAGACAGGGTTGAGGGTGCAACCACAGCATTAAATCTAGTGGTAGTTTGATGCTAAATGTCTCCCCTTCTACCCCATTGAGACAGAAACCGTTGTTAGAGACGATCGGTGGGTGAAAAGGGGAATGTCTGCATGGACAGCAGGAGCTTTCCTCACCTCACAGTAATCTGGGAAGGCCTTTGTTTTGTGCTTCATCCTTAGAATTTAAGCACATGATTTTTTTTAGATCTGATTTTGCGAACATGCAAGTCTGCCTGAATCATACCTCTCTGACACTAATATGCCGTCACCTCTAATCACACCATAACCATAAAGTCTGCTTTTGTGTTTCATACAAAGTACTGTACCAGCGGATCTGTATTTGCCAAAAATTATTTCATACAAAGTACCAGCGGATCTGTATTTGCCAAAAATTCAAAACACTCATTATGTCATCACAGCAAGTACAGATACCAACTGAAATAAAGCTGACAATTTTTCAACTGTTCTGAAAGGTCTGTCTTGTGTTTCAAGCAGGGGTTGATTCTTTAACTTGTGGCTTACTAAAATCCTACCATTAAGTACATTACAACCAAGAAGCAATGTCAATTGAAATTGTGCATGGCCCCTGCCACCCCGAGCGGTCCAATGTCATTCCCTTCCATGTTTAAATTCATAACTATGGGTGGAGTATATTTAGAAACAGAGGGCTTTATTAAACTCAAACTTGTGTTTGCAGAACGAGAACATTTAATAATGGATGAAGAAACCCTTTTCTCCAAACTTGGACTGAACCCAGACTGGCTCTCCATCACCGCTCTGTCCTTGGAGAACCGTCCGCTGCTTCTCCAAAACTTGGAAGACCTGCTAAAGAAGACGTCCTGCAGCAGGGATTGTTTATATGGATATTTGACTGTCCTGAGGGGAGGTTTCCTCTGGCAGGCTTTTTCCTAGTGGCTCTGCCAGGGTGTGCAGGTTCAAATGGGAACCCTTCTGCCTCCCCAGCTCCTTTCTTTTCTCTCGCCTCTCCTTCTCACCCCAAAAGGAAGGACTATGGGGTGGTCTTGACTGGTATAGTCTTTCGGCTTCGACCTTGGGGACTCTCAGTACGACCCGTCTCTTCCAATGCTGCCACCTCAACCTCAAGGTCTTGTTCTTCTAGGGTTTACCTGCCTGTTCCTTCTCTTGCTGCTTTCCCATCTTTTCCGTCTCTCTGTTTCATTTCGTAACTCATGTGGCTTCATCTAAATCCACAAGAGAGCTAGAGGTTGGAAAATCCTCTGTGGCCATTTGCCTTCCTCCCCACAGACAAATTTCCAGATATTAGAAGAAGCCAGCAAATTTTATGTAATCTTCCTCAAGTTAAATCAGTTCACATGGCCTTTCACATAACACAAGAGGAGAGATTTGTGTCTTTCTTAGCAAACACTTTAGAAGTGTCACCAAGGAAAAAAAAGAGGGTACAGAACATAATTTGGAGGACTTGGAAACAATGGCCAAAATTATGTTGCTTAGTGTAATAAATCACATTAAGTAGGCCCATTGAGTCAATAATTCAGATCTCCTGATTTGGTGAGTTGACTCACCGAAGTCACCTGATTCAAGTCGGTCACCGAGTCTACTAATTCAAGTGGGCCTACTCTAGTAGCATGATCAGTGGAATTTACAGAGGAATTGACTAACTAAATCCACATTGACTCCAATGCAATTTACTACAATAAGCAATAGGACTCTGAGCACTAGATTTTATGGTTTCAGCTCAGGCTGCCCTTCTAAACTTGCAACCTCCATATGATCTGGACTGTTGTTATGTGCCCACGAATCACTTCTGACTTATGGCAACCCTGAGAATTAGTAGCCTGCAAAAGGTCTTATCATTAACAGACGTGCTTGAGTCTTGCATATGAAAGGTCATGGCTTGCTTTACTGGAACCAATTCATGTCATATTTGGTTTTCATCTTTTCCTGTTGTCTTCAGTTTTCCCCAGCATTGTTGTCTTTTCCATGGAGTCTTATTATGATGTGCCCAATTCAGGATAGACTCAATGTAGTCATTTTTGCTTCTAGAGGTAGTTCAGTTTTGATTTGATCAAGCACCTGGAAATGAAAGTGTTTTAAAAGGCTTGAACTGCGGTTTACTAAGAGTTATTGCAAAACAATTAGCTAACTCCAGCTAAGCAAGGTCACTCTACAATAACATTCCCGGTAGTTGAATCCGTTTATGTTGCAGTGTGTACTTCTGTAGTTCCTATAACTTGCATTCTTTGTAATTACAATATTCTGGTTTCCCAGGACTCTGGCTTTCCATGTGTCTGTTGCATTAGATAATTTATGCTATACTGTAGATTTTTATTCCTCTAGGCTTTGCAAAAATGTAGTCAAAACAATGTCATAGTGGCAGCTTGCCAGATTCTGAGTCAGTGAGACCCGGACTGGATGCGTAATCCTCCAAAAGGGGGATGGATGGGAGAAATAAGTATTGACCCCACCAATGCCATCCTTGTTTCTTTTTCCCTCTCCCCTCTTTTCCCCATTTAGTTCCCAACAATCTACAGTACTATATTTTGAGAAATAGGATCCTCCCTTTCACCACTGCCATCCTTGTTTCTTTTTCCTTATCCCCTCTTTTCCCTATTTAGTTACCAACAATCAACTATATTTTGAGAAATAGGATCCTCCCTTCCTACCTTCATTCCTAATCTCAGCTAATTATTTGGACCTAGTTTAGGTCCACAGGAAGTGCATGAGTGTTCTGGATGTCCTGCCCTACTTTCTTCTGCAAGCATCCCATCAGAAGTGCACCAAGGCACAACAGCCGCATACTTTGGGAACCTCTGTGATAGGAAAAGAGAGAAATTGGTGGGAGAAAGGGAGGGAGAGTGGACGAAGGTGGGAGAGATGGCAGGAATAGTGAGGAGTTGAGGGAGATGACAGGTCTGTGGTGAAGGAAAGGAGTGACGTTCCCTTCAAATGAAGAAAGGAGCAAGTGACATGAACAAGAATTAAAGAAGTCTGTTTATTGGAGAGAGACAGCGGAGAAAGAGGAAAGCAAAGTAAAGGAGAGTCCGAAGAGGGGGACAATAGAATGGGATGATAAATCTCCACGGCAGAGCACAGAAAGCCAAGTGGAAGGAATAGCATGGGGAGACAGGAGATATTAGGAGCGATTGTGGAGTAGAGTAGGAATAGAAGCCAGGCAAGAAAGTGTAAGACCACAACAAACCTCTGTGTAGCAACACCTGTAGTAGACACTTGCCTAGCAGAGAAATTATTAGAAAGTACGCATGAACATTTGTTAAAATCATTCCTGTTGACTTTTATTATAATCTTAAGATGTAACTTTTCAAACATTCAGGAAGATTTTCCTACTGTTTAGTTGAAATCTCCTTTCTTGTAATTTATTCCATTAATCGAGGACATATCCTCTGGAGCAGCAGGAGACAAACTAGTTCCATCTTCTACATAACAGCCATTCAAGTACTTGAACATAAGCATATCATCTTTCACTCTTCTGTCTTCCCCAAGTGTGAGCAGGAGAACAGAAGTGTGCCATCCTCCGTGAAGGGACCAGAGAAAGAAACGAAGACTGTGCAGTAGGGGAGTTGATAAAGTTGGACAATGAAGGAACAGGAGTTACAAAAGCAGTGGAAGTGTTCCTAGCGGAAGAGAAAGAGAGACAGGCAAGGGAGGAGTCAGAAGGGTGGAGATGGGAGGATATAAAGGAGGAACGTGAGGAGAGGGGGCAGAGGAAGGAGTTGAAGGAGAGAAACGTACAGACCAATGAGACTGGAGAGCAAAGAGATAGGATCGCGAAACTGGTAAAAGATTTTCCCAGTCAGATGACAGGAGGAGGATTCTTACCTACACCACCTGATTGGTACCTGAACGGGGTTGGTGAACAGAGGGAAAAATGGAAATGGGAAGCAACATCTCCTATTCTGGGTTCGGAGAAGAAGGAAATCCCTTATGGTACCAGTCCCTATCTCCCCAGGTTGGAGGGATCCCGAGGTGTGCACCCATCTTGCGGGACGGCTTGTGCTGTTCTGAGCACACTGTTACAGAACCAAGCTCTACCCGTGGAGCAAAGAGAATATGAAGGAAACTAGAAATGTTGAGAACGTTAAGGTTAAAAGTTATAAGCTGTTGCCAGAGGTTGGATCCATTTGGTTTAGGAGTTTCTGAAGTTAAGGACAATAAACAACCGTTGTTTGTACCTGTTGCTTCGTCTCCGTCAGTTCTTCCCACTGGAAGCCCTGGCCTGCCCACTCTTTCAAAAGAACCCAATCACACCAAGCTAAAAAGAACTTATTCTACAACTGTTCCCCATAGATTGCTTATGAGGAACATAGAACTGTTCCTCATAGAGGATGCCTTCCTCTGAATCCATTCCAGCTTGTTGATATTCTTCTTAAGCTGTGATACCCAGAGTTGGAAACGGTACAGTATTTCCAAGGTTGTATGACCAAAGCAGAACAGAGTAGTTTTTTAAAAAATTACTTTCCTTAATTGGGGCACCATACTTCAATGCAGGCAACTGAAGATATGCAATCTCTGATCC